TTATATTTTTTTCTTTTTCTATAGTACTTTTAACACTGAATCTCAAATAAGCAACAAATAAAGTATGTAGTGGTAATGAAAAAATTTTTTTTTTAATTTCAAAGTAATTATTTTATTAATAAAGGCATTTATATAACAAACGAGTATAAATATATTAATAGAAACACATATTTTTCATGAATATGATATCACAACAAAAAATTAACATATTAAAAATAAATTGCAAATTTTTGTACAACAAAAACGTCTCATGAATCAGCAGGTCTCTAATTATTTACAAATGTCAAGAAGAAAATTCAACTACTGCTTTTTTCAATCTATTAATATATCAAGTACTATGCACATTATTAATTTTATACTTGTTCCAATACTTGAGAAATTCCCTATGGATCGATTCACCTGCTTGCTCTGACCACAATCCTAGGCCGCTATTAGAATCTAAGAACGCGAAACACTGTTCAAGATGTGCTGCGAGCACGTGAATTTTCAATGTTTCTGATATTTCCGTCGCTGAAAAAGATTTTTGCAGTTCTCTAATCTGTAATCGTAAATTTTCTTGAAACTTGACATTACTCCTCTTGACTGAAAAGCAACTTTCAACTATTTTATTCATAGCCTTTAATGATGTAACAAACGGCACAAGTTTCAGTTTACCAACATCACCGCAAATTTCACGATCAAAAAGTTCATCCGATCGTTTTAACATTTTACGGCAAGCATTACCCTCAAAGACATCTCCATGGTAATTTTTTGAGATGAGATTTAATTTCATTGGCCAGATCAAAGCTTTTTCTTTTCCTAGAAGAGGCACCAATCCATTCCAAAATATGTGGTTAACAAAACCTTGTAAAAGGTGTAACTCTGGAAGAATACATTTTTCTAACACATAAATTTCATCATTCTCTTCAAACAAAGGATTATTCACAGTACTATTACATTTTTTGGCCAGTTTTTTATTACTTCCTAAACAGTTTTTAAATAGTTCATAATCTTGTTTTAAGTCACCGTAAGTTTTCAATTTAAAATTTTCAGATTCATCATCCATTAATTCTTTGCGACATTTTAGATCATTTAGTTGTATAAAGCAAAACGGACAGGGGCTAGTTGCAGTAGCAGTCTGCATTCCATTTACAATTAGTGTCAATTTAAAGTCAGCAACAAACTTAAAAGAAATGTCGTTGATTTTAATCAGATCAAACAATATATTCACGTTCTCGTAAGTTTCTTTTATATCGGGAACGATGCACAATATAATCAATTTTTTTACACTTGTCAACTTGAACTTGCAACTTGAATGCTCTTTAGTGTCAAGTTTTACTTTTTTACTGGGTGGTGCACCGTCATCATCATTTTGAGGAAAAATTGACAAACAAATTTAAAGAATTTTTGACCTCCATCTGCCATAACTTTAAAACAAGGATAACCAATAATTTCTCGTTTCTTCATAACTTTCTTAACCATTTTTTCTGCGTTTGTCCAGATAACAGGCCTTCTTTCTTTGTTACTATTATCAGAAACATCAAAATTAAAAAATGCAATGTCGTAAAGTAATCTAATTGATTTGCATTTTCCGATGCATGTTTGATGTAATGACTTGGGACAGATTGCCTCCCAGATTTCGACTTTAACATACTAGTTAATTTTTTCATATGATTTAAAGATACATTTGTTTTAGTTTGAAACTCGTCTAAACTTTCTTGAGAAAAAGAAACACCATTTTTAATTTGATTTGCGTCTTTAATATAAACTTTCTTTTTGCGACCACCTGTACTCATTTCAATGAAATTTACATTAGAATTTGGTTTGTTTACTTTAGCGAGAATGGTAGTTGCAATTTGCTCTTGCTGCTGTGAAGGTAAACTGTCGACTATGCTACTAATGTTTTTATGTCTTATGTCTCCATGAATATTACAGCGATATTCCTTATCCTTACCTATTTTCGTAAAACAATTTTTGCATAGTTGGATAAACTCTTTTTTTTTTCATCACTGATTGCTTGCTCAATATTTGTAGTACACTTCACTCGATACAGCCCATTTGATTTGTCTATTTTTTTCGTTATAGAACGTTTTTCACCAACTTTAAGTTTTACATGCCCTCTGTATGTTACTATCTGGCAAATATAACACTCACATTTTATGTCTTGTATCGAATCACCTTTTGTTCTTATTGATTTAGGTAGCAGTATATCTTTGTAATTTAAAATCACCGGTAGCGGTCGTGAAGAGTCGCCATTATCATGTTCTGCTAGTATTTTACGGCACGTTACGCAAACACTTGATGGGAATTTCTGATCTGATAAATCGAAATTTGCGTAAACATAGTTTTTGATTAGTTTTTCACTCCCGATAAAAATACTATAATGTTCTAATTTCTTTTTGTCTACTACTATTTTTCTACCGCAGCACGCACACACTTTCTTTCGGTTTTCATCGTGAGTACAAGTAGCATTTGGCATGGTGATACATAATTGGTATTGTAACTGACAATGCTTTTACATGAAAAACGAAAGACAAACTGCCAAGAAGAAAACATAACGTATACTTATTCACAGACTGGCTTTGCGAGAAATTTTCACATATCAACACTCAAATTATTCCAGTACGTTTGTTTTGATTATGTATATTGTGCAAACGCTCTAAATTCTATGTATTTACTTTTTGTTTTGATTTAGAAAAGTAGCCGCTTAATTTTTGATTGATTTTATAGAGAGAATTTTGCATTTAATAAACAGAGCCACTAATGAATGCATTCATTGTGTAAATATATTTTTTGTTATGTAATAATATAAATATTTTAAACTTGAACATGTTTTTACCATTATACTCCCATAAATATGTATTACTAATACATTATCGTTGCTCATTAGTGATTCAGTGTTAAAAGTAATATAGAAAAAGAAAAAAATATAATTGGAAATAAAAACATGAGCCCATTGCTATTTAATTGGAAAAAAAATTTCTTAGTACATTACCGAAATAACTTGTAGACAATCAGCTAGGATTCTGATTCCAGGTTTTTTTAACATGTAATTATATTTTGAAAGAAACTACTAATTCAGTTTTCGTCGGCATGACAGCGAAACTTTTTTTTCATTCCCTCCCACCGTGAAAAAAAGTTAAATTCCTTTATTTTTTTAATGCGCTAAAAAACCGAAAAAAATTTTTTTCTGTATTCCTTTAGTTTGACTTTATTTTCGTATTCTTGGACACAAAATGAAACTTTTTTCTCTTTGGCATTTTTTCCAAAACGTACGCAAGTCGAAGTAATTGATGATTGGAAAAAAAGGTTGCTTTTTACAAAAAACGCCGTAACTCGGTGAAAAAAACATCGGATAGAACCCCGCGGGAGCTCATTTTAAAGGGAAAGACATTACCCTCCGAACCCCTCAGGTCGATTTGCCCTCTACCGCCTGGTTCTAAATTGGCATTGATTTAAGTCGAGGTTAAAAAAATTTCAATTTTTTTAATCAGTTTTTTTACTGTAAAAAACACATATTTTCATTTTTAAGTCTCTGAACGTCTTAAATAGAAGCTTTTGCAATTACCTTTAAAATGCCCTGCGGTTTTTTGTGATACGATGATTTCCGACCGAGATACAAAACTTTCAAGTTTGCCTAATTTTGAGGTAAGCATGGCAAAAGTGATTGATGGGCAGTGTAGGTACTCATTCGATCACTTCTAAACATGGTCAGTCTGCTCACTATTACTCCGATAGTGTTGAGAATTAGTCAATTAAGTAACGTTATGAAAGATATGGTCACGCACTCAATTTTAATGGCATTGAGTTTTTCATTTTTTTTTGTTTACAGACTATAAAGGTGTATTTAAAATTGATGTGTAGATTATTTTACATCCAATATTAATTATTTTTTATACCTACTGAAGGCTTTGAAAAATGAAAAATTAGTATATTTTCATTTTTTTCATAAGATAACTATAAATTTTGGAACATAAAGTAACAGCGGGGGATAATTTTTAATAATAATTACTTCAACTGTTAAAGAAATTTGTTGATCCAATGGTGCGGGACTAACTGCCGCTCCGATTTGCTGCTTGTCTTCAGTGTCAGCTAGCTGGAAGGCTGGATTCGCTCATGTAAACGAGCGCGAAATAGTGAAAACAAATAGACCGCGGGTTCATGGATTCTAGCGGTCGGAGGAGGGAAGGGTTCAAACTCAGGTCAATTACAAGAGTTTAAAACGTGTTGCTTCTCACACTGCTGTCTCACAGTAATGCGTCACTTCGTTGAATCCTGGGCGGCTAAGTATCTTCATCATTATCCTACTCCTTCGCTCTGATATTATCTTTGCACGCCGGTTCCCCGTAGATGATGCTTCGTCACGATTCGTAAAATCTTTTCACGCTCTCACGTATCGAACTTTCCAATCAAAAATTCTTTCGATTTACCAGCTCTAAACGCGTGTTGCTGCTTGCCCTACCTGTCGAACAATGCACGTTCCTCATGGCTTTCCCCCACTCCCTCTCTTTTCATGCCAAGCAAATACAGCCCTGCTTGGGCTATGGCAGAGCTGAATGCTTCTATCTCTTTCTCTCTCTATTTCGCTCACTCGCTCGTTAATTATTTCTGAGAATTTTCGTGCGACGGACCTACTCGTTACAATAAGTTTATTTGTTTCAAATAGTCCAAAAAATGCAATAGTATATTCTTTAAAAGTAGTTAATTAGGTATGACTCGTGTTAAAAAAAAAATTAATTTATTCCATTAAATTTAACAAACATGATTATGACAAAAAAAACATTAAAAATTAAAAATACGTGTAAAAGCGCGACGAGTGTAAATGCTGCCTTAGTATGGTGTCATGTTATTCGGATCATTTTACTCATGCGTATACATATTTTTTGAGGTTGACTTTATTTTCAGATGAATATTTATAAATTTTACACTAGTACAAACGTTTTCATCTCTATTAATATTTTTAGAAATACAACCAATATGAATTAAATTTTAATTTAAAATTCCAATTTAAATATTTTCAGTTTCTCCATTATTTGTTGTCGAATTTTTACACCGAGTAGTCGATACTTTAGAAGATTATTTCAACGAATGTTCTGAAACAGTAATTAAAGAAAACTACGTGGTAGTTTATGAATTATTAGATGAAATGTTAGATAATGGGTTTCCCTTAGCCACTGAATCGAATATTTTGAAAGAATTAATCAAACCACCTAATATATTGAGATCAATCGCTAATACGGTCACAGGAAAATCAAAGTAAGTAAAAATCAGTATTTTTCAATATATAATATGACAAATATATAGTCTATTTCAATACATTTTCATTGAATATTATAGTGTTAGTTCTACGTTACCTAGTGGTCAGTTATCAAATGTACCTTGGCGACGAACCGGCGTAAAATATACTAATAATGAAGCTTATTTTGATATTATTGAAGAAATAGATGCGATTATAGACCGGTCAGGAGTTACTGTATTCGCTGAAATCCAAGGATGTGTAAGTAGCTTTTGTCATTAGATTTTCGTAGCAAGTAATAGTTGCACAATGAATTAAAATATTTATTTTATGACGGAGAATATCGTTTTATTTCCCCTCCATCTGTTACCTTTTGATGCCTACGTGTGCCATCGTTGATCGGCCGCATATCTGTATACATGAACGCCCCACTCATACTCCGTTTTTTTTATTCGAAGTTCTGGTTGGTGAAGTCAAAAGAGAGGTGTGTTGTGGATTCGGTCGGTTGTGAATTGCGCAGATGCACGTGAATAGAGAGGTTAAGAGAGTAGGTATACAAAGAAGGCATCAGCTCAGGAGGGTATCAGCTCATTGAGCTGACTTTCCTGAGCTAGTCCCTGTGCATCTTCAGCTCATCACTGTGAACTCACCTCTCCTCCTCTTACGTGCTTCGGCACTGTCGACTCATCTCCCTCCCTCCCCTTCCCCCTTTACTGAGCTGATGCTCGTGCGTTCTACGTTCGGCACTGTCGACTCACCTCCCCCCCCCGCCCCTTATTATTAATTTATTTGGTGATGCTAATATATTTAGTTAATAATTCTATTATAATTTGTGTGCGTGTGTGTGTGCGTCTCATCTACCGAAGATGGTTTAATAGAAAAAAGTGCAAGTACCTGTGAAGTCCAAGAAAAAAATGCAACACAAAATCCTGCTTACGTTCTTTTATTTGTAGCCTTCGTGGTTGTAAGCTACTATAAATAGCACAGTGTACGAAATATGGAATCATTCATCAACCAGTATTCCAATAAAATGGATTGCTATTCTAAAGTAAAGTACTCTCGTCTTCTACAAGAAGACCCGGACGAACAGAAGAACAAAGAATCATCTACATGGAAACAAACTATTTCCAAATTTTCGAGCAATACTAATAATTTTCATGGACAAAAAGGCTATCAGCAGTTTAATAACAAAAAGAAGGACTAAAACGACTAATATGACTAATAATCATATGTACACATGTCATCATTATACACCACCTCAACCACAATAAATAAACATTTTTTTTCATCTAAATTCTATGTGGTATAAATTTTGTTCGTTGTTGATAAAAAATACAAAATTAAATATAAAAAGATGATCTGCTGCTGCTGCTGCTTCTGCTGCTGTCGTCGTCAGAGTCAGCAAAGAATTTTGCTTTTTTGGATGGTTTAATAAAAAAATAAAAGAATATTTTTTTGTATCAATTGAAAAAAAAATTTTATTGATAAAAAATATATCTTATTCTACATGTTCTTAAAAAATACGTTATTCTACAAATTATTTACTTAAAAAAAACAAAATCACTATAGAAATTCTTCAACGACTTCATCGCTCTCTTCCCAATCCATACAATAGCCATCGATATAAAACTTTTTCATTAATTTAACGTTTTGATGTGCACATGTCATTACGTATTTGCCGTTATGATTAGGGCATACGGTAACTGATTTTAATTTTTCCAAAGGTGAATAGCCCCAATCATTCAAGTCCAAAACTTTGAGGCCATATCGTTCACGATCTCGTCTACTCTTTTTCAGATCTCCGGGAAAGAAAATTTTGGTGGAATCTTTGAGTGTATGTATCTGTGATGATAAATTTATGCTATTCGTATTTCAAATCGCCAGAGTTACATGTTAATCTGAGATAGTAGAGTTTAATTAGAGATTTTGTCGCTTATATTTCACCGTTAGTCATCACCGTGGAAAGGGAGGTTGGAACAAGCGTACGAGTGGTTCTGCGTTGTTGTTAAGTGGAAGTATCACTAACTCTTTCACAGTATAAGTTTTGTCAGGCATCATAAAGCCTTACATATCGTCTACGTGCTCCATTACGATAGAAAGCTACTACTGAACTGGTTAAGGAAAGAGTCAATTCATTAATACGTAACATATTGTCTTGATTCCCTTACAGTTTTCTTAAATGATAAATTTTGTATAATGGAAAGAAGGGAAATAGTAAGAGATGGAAATTCACTTAATTCTAAATATATTCAGCAACATTTCGTCAGCACATTTGCTGACCTCTTCAGGCTGATTTCTCTCGTAGTCAAATTATTATAGGCTAAAACTGTATTGTATCACTGCATATCACTGTATTGTATCACTATATATCACTGTATTATGACGTAACTGGTTATGAGCTAATCGTTTTAGCTTATAATAATTTGACTATGAGAGAAATTAGCCTAATGAGATCAGCAAATGTGCTGATGAATATAATTAAAATTAAGTGAATTTCCATCTCTCACTATTTCCCTTCTTTCTATTATACAAAATTTATCGTTCAATTCTTTAATACCCCTCTCCCCTCCTAAATAAGTTTTTTCATATCTCCATTTAGCAGATCATACTTAACGATGCGATCTTGTAGATTAAGACAATTCACTGTAGTTCCTTCTGAAATATTTTCTTTGGTTTTAAACACCAAGCACACATCTACTGGAGCAGTTTTTAATGATTCGTTTTGTTTCGAACAATCAATCACTACTGGCATGTAATTTTTATATTCGAGTTTTTTGAGCATCGGTTCAGCATCTTTACCATAGTATACGTATTGAAAATTGGCATAAATATCGTACAATATTGCTTACTGGTTTTTACTGAAATCAATGTTGAGATTGCCATATGGATAGCACTGAGAGTTGAGGTACAATTTTACATTTCTGATGTTACAATGATCAAATATACTAGCGTTAGAGATTGTGACACTATAGATTAAATTTACCAACGCGTTTTGGATAAATATACTTTTTAATAATTCCCACGAGCCATCCAAAGGCCTATGCCCAAGCGTCGTGTCTCGCGGATTTACGCGTCATCCTCTACGGCCGCGTGCCTTCGCTCGTGCGGACAATCGCACGGGGGTACGTTACAATAATTCAAAGGACTACAGAGGAGGGACTCGCCTTAATCTCCGATTTTCGCCATCGCGTTGCGCACTCGCGAATAGAAAAAAAGAAAGAGAGAGAGACGTCTTGACCTGGTGAAGGCTGCTTGCAGGTGTAACGTCGGGCCATTTATTATCAATAAATTATTTTTTTTTTCCTCATGTACTTTTGCGTAGCTTAAATTTTAACTCCGTAAACGAGCAAAGGAGAGCATTCAGCTGAAGCAGCTGGAGGACACGTGAAAATAGCCGTCCCTTTGCCGCGCGCTTTCCGAATTTTACCTCGAACGATCGTAAAGTTTTTTTTGAGTAGGTTTTGATATAGAGTAAAGAAGCCGCGGAATTCCGCCTGCATCCTGTTATTCGATTTCACCCAAAAGTTTTCCACTTTTAGAAGCTAAAACTTTTGCTATATAAAAAAAATCTTAATAATTAATTTTACACAAATGAATCGGGAAAATAACAGCATGATAGGAAAATTTCGCAGCTTCTTGAAACCTCCCACACACTTTTTGATTAGAAACATAGTTGCCGCGCAATCATTGAAAATAACTCAAAGTTTTGAAATTATAAATTAGAAAATGAGTTAAATAGTCGAAAACAGTTACTTGAATGAATTTTAGCAAATCAGTTATACAGTCCACAATTAAATAATACCCCTTTTTCGTTCCATACTATTTAAACAACGAAGTGAGTTAATTAATTAAGTTACTAATTATAAACATGTAGGATCAAAGATTTTCGCGTAAAATATGTTAAATAATAAGAAACATGCGTTATTTTTAAGAATTAATTGTAATAATTTTACGTAATAAATAAATTAATAATTATAAGAAAAACTGTAATAAAAATGGTACTTGGAGAGTCATCTAGCGAGATAAGGCCCAAACTCTTGAACGCGCGCCCCCAATTCTCATCACGCCCCTGAACCAATTAGGGCCCGAAATCCGAAAGAGAAAAGGAGGGAAAATCTCGGTCAGCCAATTAGAATTCACTGGCATTTCCACTCTTCCCAAATTTTGAGGGACTGAAAGAGGAATTTTCCTCCCAACCACCCCCAGGGTTTAAAAGGGCGTGCGCAAGCGAAAATCGCTCTCTCTCGCTTCTCGCAAGCTTCTAAGTTCACCTCGTTCGACCAAGTGCCAGGTCCAGATTCATCTCTCCAAGTACCAGTACATTGAATAAAAAGAAAAGTAAGTTGAAACTAAAATTTTTTATCACTATCTCTCCTTTTCCTCTTCTTGTTAGAGTAGCCAATCGAAACTCGTGAGAAATAGGTCTTCGAAAAGTATTTCAGCAGGAATTGGGATACTTTTCTATAAGACAGTCGCGCCGTTAAACAAAATTTAAATCCTTCTTTTGTGATAATTCCGGCAAGGTTTGGGATTTTCACATCCAAGCCCCGATTCCATTGGACCCTGGTGTTTGATGGAAGGCTTGTAGTCAAGTTTTATTTTTCACTCTTTTTACGCGAAACGCGAAGTAGAAAAGCTCTAATTCTCCAATTGCTCGTCCCGGTTTAAGCGTACGCACGCAAACCAAATAGAGCGCCTGAGATTACGTCCGCCTCAGAGATCTCGGCTCGAACTCTCTCCCTAACCATTCGCACGTCGGCTCAAGCAACGCCGGCAGCTTCGCTCTCGCGAGCGGATCGCCGCGGGTCGCTCGCACTCGCTTACTCTCTACTCGCGACGCGTCAATCTCTCTCTCTCTGTTTCTTGCCACAGTCGCTCTCATTCCCAATTGGCTCCCAATGACGATGCCCTGCTCAGGTATTGGCCCTGAAATAAAGCGGTACGAGCATCGCTATCGGTTCGTAATTTCTACCAGGCCAACAACGAAGGAGCGAGCTGCGAGAGAGAGAGAGAGAGAGAGAGAGAGAGAGAGAGAGCGAACTAGACAGGGCCGACTATTCTAGCCAGGGTCCTGTCACAAGTTTGGTTCATTTTTTTGATTAGTTTAGAAGACTAAGATGATGTAGCGTGGTTTCTCCAACTGATTTGTCGTTTCAACTGTCCAGACATGATTTGGGTTTGCAGGCAGCGCTGGATATTAGTATAGTTCCCAACTACGAAAACTCATTGAAATACTTCGATCGCTTTTTAGTAAGTCGAAT